ATACTATTACAGGGCTGGGCTTATTTAGATTGTGGAAGTTTAATTATAAAAAATGCATTTTAATTGATTGCTGCTGGAATAATTACAGCAACACCTTTCCAAGAAATGGCGGCCAACCTATGTTTGTCAACAAAGAAGCTTCCTTTAAATTCAACATGCAATAATTGTTTAATTAAGCCAAATTTAGATCCTCGTTTGAGAACATTCAAATGTTTGCTTATTCCTTCCTGTCTCTGAGAGGTAATTTAAGAGATAAAAAGCAATCTCCAGAAATACTCTATCTATACATGTAAGTATCCAAGAAGACGACGAAAAAGAAATACTTCATTTTATAGCTGATCTGGATCTAAGCTTGCTGCTATTGATAAGAACATAAACACAGAGTGAGTGATCGCTACAAATCCCTCTCTAATTGGTACTGGGAGACCTTCATAAAATATGAACAGACTCCAAACGACATGTTCATTTTCTAATATGCAAAACAGATTCAACTGTTGATACACTAGCAGCAGCCACAGCCCGTACTCGGTATGAGGACTCCACAGTCACTATAGCTATGCATACATGGAAGGAGAGGAATAAATAATTCATTGGTTTTCAACCTCTTTACGAGTTTCCTTGCAGCTGCAAAATCCTGCTGCTGTCCTGTGCAGATCTCTGGGTTTCAGGTGTGCAGCTCCTGAATGTCCCTTCTCAGTAGCCCAACACTTAAGCACGCACACAAGGTGATCGCTGCACCATTGAAGCTCTAGGGCTTGGTGCTGAACGAAGGTTTTTTTAGTTGCTGGTCATCCTTGCAAAGTGGCCTGAGTTTTGCAGGGACAGATTTACCAAGCTGGTGACTCATCTTCTGTGAGCAGCGCTCAACAGGGCTTGTCCCCCAGGTCACTGCCAGGGAAATCTGTTGCTGAGCCATCGTCTTTCCCGGGCAGCGAGAGCAACCACCACCGTCTGCCTGATGCTGCCGGGGCTCACCTGGGGACTCCAGCCAGAGGCCAAAAGCAGGAGTCTCTGCATCACAAATTAAATAAAGCTAAGGAGCTGGGGTTGAAACAACTCATATCCCCTGAGGAGCTGGGCTATGCACAGGATCGGATGCGCATTATGTGTGCACGAATGGAGGCCGAGACAAAGAATAAGAGAAAACTATTCCCAGCACCGGTTGTCTCAAGTAAGCAGCCTCTCATGCTTTTGCTGCCAACAGGACACGGTGCTCATGTTCACTGTGGACCACCCAGGGATTTGCAGCTCTCACCTAAGCTTCAGCCCTCCTGTGCCCTCACATCTGGCACAGGACACCCTTCTTCCTGCACCTCTCAGCTCTGACCTGCAGCATCCCCTGCATGTTGGGTCTGCCCTGAGCGCAGTCAGTCATGGCAAAAGACAGCAAGGCAGAGTTTGCTAGCAACTGTGTTGAGGCTGTAAAGCTCTTTTCCAAACATGGCTGAAGACAGAAGCTGTGAACATGTCTTTAAAGCTGTTCAGAAGGGTTTTGCTCTGCTACGTCACTAGGCAAACCTTTTAGCTATGCCACTGTCATTTACCTTTTATAGTCACCTGGCACTGCTGCATACTTCTGCTGAAGGAACTATGTGTGTGTGTGTGCGTGCGTGTATATATATATATGCGCACGCACACACACTCTAAATTCACCTTCCCCCTAAACAATTGCCTTGGCCTTCAAACAAATGGCACAAAACTATAAAGTCTCCTAACCTTTAGTTAAGAACCCTCCAAGCGGCAGGTGTGTATTTTCATACCGGTAAGCCACACCACGCACCCAGCTGCAAACACAGAGCCTGCTCATTACCATCTATTCTGTGGGATGGAATGAATTCAGGAAGATATTTTAGTTTTTGAAATGTGCCCATGTTCCAGTGATGCAACAACATTAGCATCAACCACACACATGAAATATGAGGTTACCGCATGTTGTATCTACTACCTATTTTTGCTTTCTTAATGATTACGGCTTGCTTAAAATCATAAGCTACTGACGTGTTATGCACAGAGACCACAGGACCTGTAGGTGGATGCTGCCCCACACAGAGGTATTCACAATCACTGTGCAACGATGAAAAGTCCACAACTGGAAGCATCAGAAATATGAAAGTTGTCACTGGGCTGTCACAGTGACAGCCCAATGACAACAGCACCCTCTTGATATTTTACAGTTTTATCACTTTCGTGGATATTATTGTTACCAGTTTACGATCATCACTAGCACATCATTAACGGCTCTCTATCACTGTCACCTGAGCACAAATGGGTGCATCTCATTCTGTAAATTCACCCACTGTCACACCAAAGCTTGCTCATCTTAACTGGTAAGCAGATATATGTCAGGCAGAGATAGGCAGTGTCACAGTTGATGCTGAGATACATTTTGCATACTATCTCCTTAGACAGGGTGCTGTCATTTTGCTGCAGTTCATCCCGCCACTTCAGCATCGCCCCGCAAGCTGCCCGACAAGGCTTTTTGCTTCTGCCATCACCACCGATTCTTAGTATATATTCTCTATTTTGAATGACGCTGCTTCAGGCACTTGCCATAAGGACTACATTTAGCACACGAGGCCGGCTCCTAGCACAAGACAGGACTTGCCATGGGGCTGAGACCTACTAGTCTTCCTCAGATGTCCTGTTGAAGACCCTGATAGGGTCAGCACCAGGTTTACAGGGTCCAAACACCCTTGGCTTAACCACCAGAGAAACAGGTAATGCTAATGACAAGGAAACGCTGTGTTCTCTATCTCCATGGGAACAAAACCTGGTACTTTTAACTGGTAGCATGGCCAGTCTTTTCTCAGAAGATAAGGACCATTGCGTGGGCACGGTTTTCATTCTCTGTAAATAAACAGATCTTACTGCTGATAGCTAGTCTTGGCAACTGGGAAGGGAATTTGCTGGAAGATGAGGAAGGAGATAATTCCTGGCAAAAGTTTCACTCCAGCCCTAAAGTACTAAAACCAGGTCTCCTAACGGCCTGGTTTTTTTGGGTTGTTTTTTTTTTTCTTCCTAGGGTTCGTGGAATAACACCTTCTTTTGTGCTTACAAAACAAATGCTGCCTTCCGTAGTCTGGAAGAACTTAGGAAGTTTTTAATTATAAGAAGAGAAAAATGAGGACAAGTGAAGTTGGACTGTGCGGAGTGCTCTGCTGGTCTGATCTAGGACAATGTGCCCTACATAGAGCTCAAATATAACATCCTTTGGGAGGCTGTCTTGCTTCCATTCAGCTTTTGTGAGACCACCCCCGCCCCTGTGGTACTAATGACAGATTTCTGAAGCATAACTGGTATCATGGTCTTGCTATCAACGTTAATGCTGTAAACAAAATCATTAGTGGCAGGCATAGAGAGGGAGGGAAAACTATGCGCAGATGGAGAATTTATTCTAGTTATATTCTTGCAGTTTCTGCTTTCTTCCTGCTATCAGCACTGAAATAGCTCATCCCCAGCCACAGTCAGCAACTCTACCCCAGGTGGGTGATGCTTTCCCTTGATAGATACAAGGTCTGTCTTTTTTCTTCTATTTGTCTAGACTTCCTGCCAAGGAAGTGCCATTGGACTGAGCTGAAATAGTTGTTCTTCCTTGATGGAAACCTTGTAGTTGGCAAATAGAGGGGTATTAAGGAAAATAGAAAATCTTTAGATGTGTTATTAGACACTCCAGTAAAAGTGTGGCCAAATTATTACTTCTCTCTCCTATGTCATACTGGACAGGAAATTTCTGCAATCTTTAATCTGCAACCCTCCAACAGAAAAAATCACAACTTTTACAACTTTCCACCCCTTCAAAGAGCCTTGATAATTCTCCTCCTGTACATTCCTGGGTTCTTTTTGCAGGAAAGCATTTTTCCCTTCTGTGTATTTCTTAGCAGAGAGAACAGCTTGTGTCCACCTCTACCCCACTCTCCACATGACTAAACTGCAGAGAGGATGTTTTGGTAACTCAAAAGGTTACTACAGACGTGAGCCAACAACAATCCAACAGGCTCTACAAAGGGAAGGGTTCCTCCAGCCCCTATGTACACACACACAGAGGCTCAGGGAGTGAAAGCAGTGTCTGACACCAGGTTGAACTGAGAAATTCTTCGTGCATCACATCCCAGCGGCGCGAGCCCCTCGTGCACAGCACTGTGCTGCTCACTCCAAGGCAAGCAAATGCTGCAACAGCCCCTAATGCAACCATAGGGCTGTGTTATGGTTTTTGTTTTCCCCTGGTTCCCTTCTGGACTTATTTGTTGCTTCTAATCTTGGCATTACCTGGCAAGCCAGTTTTTTCTTTTCCCAACTATATCATATAACAAGAACAGCACAGCTATGTGCTGTGATTTAGCAGCATGCAGATACACCCTAGGATGGACTCTGCGGTGCAAATTCAGTCTTTAATACTCGTTTTTAGAGGCAATGGTTTTGCTCATTCTTGAAACTAGGACTCTCTTACCTCTCTGTCATTATTAGGCATGCCTCTTATTGTGGATCTGGACTCCACTTGCACCAAGCTGCTGTTATCTGCTAGGTCTTTCTTAAATTGCAAGGACAGATGGCTAAACTGGGGCTGAAGAAGAAGTTGTTCACACTAAACAGAGACTTCTGTGCACTCCGTGGGTGGAAAGGGGTGTCTTTGTTGTACATCACGGCTATAGGAAATATGGAAATGAAACCTCAACATAATGAGTCAGGCAGAGGTTAGAGAAACAAGAGGAAATGAATTGTTGGGGGTCTTATATCACTTTAGAAGCAATGAAAGAGAAAATGCAAGACATTCTGAATAACTGCAAAACTACCCTACCCCTATGTCTTAGCACAAACCAAAATGACTCAGAAATCCTTTGCCTGGGTGTTTGGGGTTTTCTTGCATGGACCCTAAAGGTGAGTTGCACATTTGGAGCAAGATGTCCCATATTTCAGACACACCACACCACCCCCCCCACCCACCCCCAGTCAGGAATAAAGAAACCAAAGTAAGAGAAAGCATGGCAAATGCCGCTACTTACAGGTATATGTCATTTCAAAGCTGTCGCTAATGTTCACAATGTCGATCTGGGGAAGGAGCTTAGGGGGTTCCGTGAGCTGAGACAACGCAAACCTAAAAGCCGCATGTTCCTGGGACTGTTGATTAGGAAATAACCCCCCTGGGGAGAAAAACAGAACAACAAGAAGAAAGGTCTTAAGGACACCCATATCAGCAACCTCTTCAGTCCAAAACATTCCTGTGAGCAGAGGCTACAGCTCCCCAGCCCAGGGAGTGCCTCTACACTCAGAAACCCTCCAGCACGCAAGACCTGGGGGGTTTCGTGCCCACTGTGGACAGGCTGGGAGCAGAAAACCTTTCCAGCCCATGCATTATGTAATGCCTGGATCACATATAGGATCCCTGATGCATCCTTGGGCCCGGCAGCCTGCAGGGTCAGGATGAGCCATGGGGTTTGGCTCAACCTCCTCACCCCCCGTAACTTTAAGGAAGAGAAATGGAAGTGCTGTCAAGGGCTTATAGAGGAGGAATGAGAGTCTGTCTTTCTCCTCCCCTCACTTGTAATTAGGCTCAGTTTAAACCCTGCTAAGAGGAGGGGTTTGCTCCAGAAGGGGTGCAGGGGTTTCCCCACACTATGGGACTCGGGGGTATGGGACAGACTGGCTGAGCCTGGCCTGACAGGTGCAGCGCTCGGTGGATGGGGACAAGGCTGTGAGAGCCAGAGCGATGTGGGACCATGGCCAAACAACTGCTGCTACTGGAAGTTTGCTGCATGGAAAAACCCTAAATTTAACAGGTGACAGTGGCCAAACTCAAAGAGGGAAGGAAATCAAAAGCTTGACGCTCAAAGGGATCGATCCAAGCAGAAGTACAAGACAAGCCCAGAACCACAGGATGATATAAATAGGATAGGAACTGGGACCAGGCTGGACCCAGGCTCAGAGCCTTTCACCTGCCATGGACCTGGAACAAAGTGCTGCGATAACCCAGCCCTAGGAAAAGTTTCCTGCTGCTCCCCCAGCAGGAAACTTGGCTTGTGGCAGATCCCTTCACAGCCTCCAGAAAGATGCTATTAAATTCAGGCTGTCTTGTAATCTACATACATTTAAAGTGAGCACTGTTATTGGCATTTTATGACTAGGGAAACAAAGCACTTAGCAACAAGGTAGAATTAAAATAAAGAAGCAGAAAGTATCAATGCCCACCCTCCAGGGCAGATGGCTTGGGGAAGAAACAAATGTGCAAGGACCTGCTATCAATGGCACTTTGCATATCTTTAGTATAGAGGGCATCTCCTTGTTGTGTGGAAGGGGCTATTTGTGCATGAATATCCACACCACCACCACCACTCCCGCCCCGTTTCTCCCACCCCCAGCCTAATCATGGGTGTCAGAGGAATAAGATGCTAGTAGCCGAGTTAAGCTATTAGATGTGTTTGTTGAAAGGGAAAAAATCTGGGATGTTGCACAGATTTGGGGTAAAGAGGACGCAGGAAGAGGGGGAGACAGGGATGCAGCATCAACAGCAATAAAAGCACTGATTGTGCAGCTGGACTCAGGCAGGAGTTGCCTGAACTTGGTGGCTTAGCAATTGATTGGCATTGTAAAGAGAAGGGAGGTGGGAAAGAAAACCGGCATGCAAGGAAAGAGAATTTGGGGCTAGGTTACAAACCATCATCAATAAAGATCAATGAGAGAATAATAATAAACCTGGGGAGGGAGGGAGAGGAGCACTGAGAAGTTACAGGAAGGGAGAAAGGAATCAAACAGGCGCTGCTGGTGTGCAGGGGAAGCAAGTAGCAAGAAATGAAAAGAGACTTCAATGCAAAATCTTCCTCCGATAGCTCTGCCCTTATTCTTTAGCAACAACAACAGAGAGAGCCTGTTTGTTACCTCTCGTCCCAGTTACCTACAGATGAGAGCATCCTCACAAAAATGTATAATGCAACCGCTGATTTTGCAAATGCAGCAATGCACAATGGCAGCCCAGGCATTCCTCAGAGCAAGAAACAGATTTTTTTTTTGTCCTTCCTCCATTTCAGAGGCACTTTTCTCCCTCTGTGTTGGTGTGTGTGAAGGCATTTATTTCCAATCTTCCCCTCCCCCAAAGCCAAATTGATACATCTCTGCTCTTGCAAAGCTGGTACCAATGCACAAATCGAGCCCTCGCTGTTCACCCCTTTGCGCTCTCTCACACATATACACACACACACACAACACAAACACATTTTGCCTTTGCAAGCAAATGAATGGGGCAGTTTTCCCCCATCGCCCCCTCTCCACCCCTACCCTCTTGCCGGGGAACGTCACTCCCAAACGGCCCCGAGCTCTGCACTCACCTATCTGGATATTGTTGGGGAAATTGGCCCCTAACACCGCCCCTAGGAAACTGGTGCAGAAGAAGGCAAAAATGTGCTGCATATTCCCTTTTGCATTGGCGAAAAAGAAGCCCAGTTCCAAGCATAGATTTGATTTTTCCCCCGCTCTGCTCTCTTTAGCTGCCTCTCTCGCCTCCCCTCCGCTGCGCCTTCGGGGTTGCGCGTCTCCCTCGCTCGGAATCCAGCGCTGAGACTGCTGCTTAACACTGCCTGGCAGCAGGATTAACTGAGCCCCGTGAGGAAGAAAGAGAGCCCGCTCCTCATCCACATCCCTCCCCCGCCACACACAACACGCACACGCACACGCACAGACCAGGCGCTTCCACCGCACTCATTCGCCTTCTCCCAGTTGGAGCCCAACAGCTGGGTACCGCATCCCCCCCTCACCCCGGCTATCCCTCCCGGGGGTCCTGGCTGGGGTCTCTAAGGGCAATTCCTACCTGCCCCTAAATTCCTGGCTTTCCCCCTCAACTTCTCTTGGCAGGAGCTAGAAGGAACCTGCAAATCAGTAGGTGGCAAACTCCTCTAGAGAAAGGGCTTAAACTCCTCTGCCTCTGATCCATCGCTTCCCAGCCTGGGCTCTCACCCCTGGGTCCAGGAGTTGAACAGATCAGCCTCTACAGCCCGGCTCATTAGGATAACAAAGAGGGTTGCATCCTGCAAACGTGCCTTGGAAGGAAGGATTTCAGAGCAACAGAAAACAGAGGTCCCAAAGGAGGAAAAAATGACACCACCCCCCCACCACCAACTTTCTCGCTGATTTTTCCTGCCTATTGTTAACCTCTGAGGCATTTCACCCCTGTGCTTGATGTGGACGTGCTCACCAGCACTATCAGATAGGGCAGGCTTCTGAAATTAGGTGGCTATATTAGCCTGGATCATTATAGGTCCTGTTCTATAGCAGTTCTAGTGAGGTTGGAACTTATTTGACCATAAGCAGCTTTAATCAAAAACAAAAGGGGAACAAAAATCAATAAAAGTAACAACGATAAAAACCAGCTCCGAGGCACAACTTGGGATTTAGAAATATTTGAGGAAGAACTGCTGTGAACACAGAGCCATAGCCATCTCAGAAAGGAGAGAAAATTCACCCCTGAAACACATAAAGTCCCAAACCAAACTTGGGGTCTCTTGTGCCTGAATACCCATGTCTAAGCACAGAGATTCTGCCCTTACCATTTGCAACCTGCATACACACAAGGGGTAAACAGCAGAGAGGAAACAAACCAACCAAAAAAAAGGATAGAAGGGAGCAGAGTTAGAAGTAGGACTCAGATGCCTGGTGTCCTGGTTTGGTGTAGGGTGCCTCGCCCTGGTCCCCACTCCCCCTCCCCAAAAGCATGTGGTTAAATTGGAAGAGCATCAAAGAGTGATGACCAGTGTTCAAAGGTTGGGAAATGCTCCTGCATAAGGACCAGCTGGACAGATGAGAACTCTGTAGAGTGGGATAACCAAAATGGGATGTGACCAAAGCCAACAAAATCTGTGGTAGCACAGAGACATTCGCTTTTGGCCACAGGGCCCAGGTGTGACATAACTTTATGGTGCAGGGATAACACTACTCTTTATATCCTCAAGCCTTTTATGAGCAGAATAGTCTTGAAAACAGAAGTAGTAGCATCTTTTTGTTGGCAGGTCCTCTACTTCCTCTGAAAGAGATTTACTACAAGTTTTTTCCCCACATGACCCTTCCTGCCAGCTGCAACAGAGTCCTTGGGTAGCACAGCATCATACACCGTCATGCACTACCTCCACAGCCAAATGTGACAATGACTGGAAAATCATCTCTCATGTGGCTGTGGGCACAGGCTCTGGGTAAATGAGAATGGACCATGATCGTTGCGCAGGCCTCCATTTCTTCTCTGCAAATAAGGGCTTGGGATCTTTAACCTCCTCCTAGACAGTTCTACGGATTTCACTGTGACTTCTGGGATGACAAAATGCTTAAACACCCACATAAATACCAGAGTAGGTGTAGCGTCTCAGCACTGTACTCTAATACCTTGCATCAGAGAGGAGTTGCACTGATGCCTGCAACTTTGTGGCCTCTTACAAGGACAGTATGTGCAGTTACACTGCAAAAAACAGAGCCCAGAAGACTTGCATCTTCCTTATGGCAAGCAATAAAACACCCTTCTAGGATGGATTCCTTTTTTCCCCAAGCCACCCCTGACCAGGGCAATGACTCGGTGCCAGAGTCTGCAGGTTCATTAGAGCAATTGTTCAGGCATTCAGGAGTCAGTCACAGGCGGCTAACAGGTGCTTTTACCCTGTCTCACTGCCTGGGTGACTGGCATCAGAGTCACATTCAAGCACAACAAATTTTCATCTGCTATTGATAAGTAGCCCCTTCATCAGACTTCCATCTCGCTCCTTGTATAATTTAAGCAATACTGATTTGAGGCTAAAATAACCTGCTGATAGGTTTTATGGGCTCTTGCTTTCCATCCAGAATTTAATAGAAACAGCTGCATTTATAATCTGAAGAAAGGCACTGAAGGATAACCAGCACAACAGAAAGATGCTAGCACATTTTCAAAACTCCCAAACAGCCTATCTGATAATAATAATAGTAGCCATAACAATAAAATATTGTAATGGCTCACAGAAAGCTTGCACAGTCACATTAATTAATAATGCTGCTTTTGTCTATAAACCTCTCAAAGTGCAGGTGGCTTAACAAGGAGAACCTCACTATAGTGTAACAAGATAAGTAGTAATAAGACCATTATTTTAAGAAGTTATTAATTTCCTTTTTCCCTATAGATAACAGCATTTTATTCAGAGTTTGTTAGCACAAAGATGTTAGGAATTAACTCTAGCTGCTCTGAAGATTCTTTAAATCAACATCAAAGCAATATAGCTTCTGAACTTTTGGCTAAACATCAAACCAAGTCTTGGGAAATTGATGAAACTCTTCAATGTCACAAGAGTGGTCACAACAGACAGATCAATCCACCAGTCTTCTGACAGAAGAGCCCAATTGAATTATCTAGGTTCCTAAAAACAATTGAAGGAGCTTATTCCTCCTTTCAGATTTCAGAAAAGAAAGAAAATCATTCAATACAGCATATAAGTATATTGCACAGTGCCATCTTAATGAGGGGCAACTAAAAGTATCAGGGAGTGGCATTTTGAAGACCTGTATGTCATCTCCAAGTGTTCTTAAGACATAGGTGGGACAGGCAGACATCTGGTGGTTAACAGAAAACATCCAACAAGGTCTTGTGGGATTAATCCATGCAACTGAGTGCAAAGAATTAGGTAAATACATGTCTAAAAAAAAAAAAAAAAAAAGCTGTCCAATTTAAGGCAAGAAATGTTATAACGGAATTTTAAAAGAGCATAGCCGGTTCACTTAAAGTCTTTGCCAGAAATGAGAATAAGAAAATGAATACATCAGAGCTACTGTTCCTGTTGTGCTCTGCCTGGATCTGACCTTGCTGTGATGAGCAAGAACCTTTCGTCTCACCCATTTCTGCTCCGAGGTTTTGCACACCAGAGAATTTTGTCTCTGAGGCTGCTGTCTGCCGCCTTCCTCTTTGCTCCGCTTTGCATGACATGAAGTTGTCCACACGAGCAGAATGGTCTGCCTTCACTATCAGAGCTTTTGTTTCCAGGATAGGAAATAAGTGGTTGTTGCAACAGATATATTTCTGTACCAGAAGCCTTAGAAAAACAAAGGACTCATTCACATGCAGAAGCCTCCAGCCTTGAAAAATGAGGAAATCAACAGAACTCGGCATCCATCCGACCTCCCAGCAGAATTATTTCCCCCAGTGCCCACTGTGTTTTACATGATGCTCCTGAATGTCTTTAAAGAGGCTATTGAAATGCTACTATTTCTGAAATTCCTTTTATTTTGTAGCTGGACAATCTCTATAGGAGGCTTTTAATAAAGAGCAAATTGTAATTATAGTGATTAATTTAAATAAACTCCAAACAACACAGACTCTCATATGGGTTTCGCAGAGCCTCGGCATAAATGAATGCTAATGGAGTCACATGCGTTTCTCTCCCTGCCTTGTTCACCTCAATTTTGTTAATTTGGATAATGCACCTCTCAAGGAATGATCGTCATGCAGGTGCTGAGAGAACAGACTCCAGAAACTCAAAACGGGGAAAATTTGGAAGCGATCAAAAAGGGAAAGGGGTGAGACAGCTCCCTCCATTCACAGCACCAACGTACTGGGAAGTGTGTGTGCAGATAGCCCTCGGCACACCTACACCCAGCAAACATATGCACAGTCACTGGTGCCGCCCACACAAAAATGACACTGATAGACACAGTTAGGAAAGCGTCCGTGTGCTGTACATGCACACATACGCACACTCACAGGATCACCCAGGCAGGAGCAGGCGGCACAGCTCAAGGGTGTTTGCTGGCATGTGGAGCTGCTGCGGAGGGGCAGGAGCAGCTCTGCAGCCTGTTGCACTCCCATCGTGTTTTCTGAAGCAGGTTTTAGCCTGCACAGGGATTTTGGACCTGCAGCCAAGCTCTTCTCTCATCCTTACTCAGAAAATTCCTACTGAAGCAGAAACAAGGGGACTTCAGGCTCTTTATGGTCATTTCCATGTGTGCCTACCTAGTTTATTTTATGTCAGACACTTGCTTCAATCTTTTAAACCTGGAAGGTATTATTTACACCACTGAAAAATAGCATCTACAAACTGTGGTTGCCAAAACATTTTTGGTAGAATCTCCTTTACAAAAATAGCCTCAGCAACATTTAGTATCACGCAGAAAAAATCTCCCCCCATCAATGAATTGGGCCTGAGGTGTCTGTGGCCCCTCTCTTCTTTACACAGCAGCTGAAGCTGTCAAATGAAAAGCTTTGATATCTGAGAGGCCACTCAGAGAAGTTAAAGGAACATGAGCATCATACCTTTCCAGTGTGGCTAAAATGCAAAGATATGGGACAGGGGCAACATCCGAGATAAGGATAGCTCCAAGCACGTCCTGACTGATGCCAAACACCTGGGGGATGATGCTTTAAGGTCACCAGATATTGCTTCTTAATTTACTGACTGCTGATGGGGGAAGCCTGATGTGAACTGAAATTGGGGAATGCTGGCTTTTTCCACAAACTGTACAAGAATGTGCTTCTGTTGTCATCCTGAATGGCTTATTACCATATTTATAAGAAATGACTTCTTGCTCACTGTGGGATAATTAAGTAAGTAAATGGACTGGAAGATAAACCCG